AGGGAGGGAGGGAGGGAGGAAGGGGAGATGTCCTAGCCAGATGCTAGTGGCTCACACCTGCAAACCTACTCAGGAGGCTGAAATCTGTGGATCATGGTTCAAAGCCAGCCCAGGCAGGAAAGTCTGTGAGAGTTATCTCTAATTAGCCACCAGGAAACTGGAAATGGTGCTGTGGCTCAAAGTGTGATAAAACGCTATCCTTGAGTGAAAAAACTCAGGGACAGCGCTCAAGCCCTACAACCAAAAAGTAAAAAAGAAATATGTCCTATTAGATGGGCCTCTGACCACACAACCCCTACAAGATGCTTGCTATGCCTGACTGCCACAGACCCAGCCTCCTCCAGAACTCAACTGGAAAGCCTCTGTCTGCTGGGCTCCAGTAATTCACATTGGCTACTCCAGGGGGGCTCAGATCTGAAGATGGAAGTTCAAAGCCAACCCAGGCAGGAAAGTCTGTGAGAGACTTCTCTCCAATGAACCAACAAAAAGGCAGAAGTGGAGGTGTGGCTCAAATGGTAGATTTTCAGGTTTAAGTTTAAAAAAGCTAAGGAACAACATGAGTCTTGAATTCAAGCTCCAGTACTAGTGCAAGTGTGCATGATATACACATACATACTCACACACTACCACCACCACAAAAGCAAAAATACAGGCTGGGAAGGTGGCTCAGTGGTAGAGTACTTGCCTTGCATGCACGAGGCCCTGGTTCCATTCCTCAGCACCATATAAGCAGAAAAAGCCAGAAGTGGCACTGTGGCTCAAGTGGTAGGGTGCTAGCCTTGAGCTGAAGAGCTGAGGGACAGTGCCCAGGCCCAGAGTTCAGGGCCCACCACCGGCAAAAAAAAAGCAAAAATACATCTTTTCCTGACCACTCATTGCTTTGCAACAGTCAAACAATAAGAGATATTACCAGGAAACTTTATTATTTATTATCTGTCTCCCTCAGTAAGGACGTCGAGCTGTCTGACAGACCAGAAATGTGGGGGTGGGGTGGGGGTGCGCATGCATGCGTATGTTTGAGTACTGAGACTTGAACTCAGGACCTCTTGCTCTCGCTTCGATTTTTGCTCAAGACTGGCATTTGAGCCAGAGCTCCACTTTGAACTTTTGGTGGTTAATTGGAGATAAGAGACTCTTACAGACTTTCTTGCCTGGGCTAGCTTTGAACCTTCATCCTCACGATCTCAGCCTCCTGAGTAGCTGGGATTATAGGTATGAGTCATGGGTACCCAGTTTAGGCCAGTGCTTCTTTTTTATACTTGGCATCTAACATGGGGTCCAGCACGCAGTAATGTAAGTTATGTAACAACGCTGAGAGGTATAGCCACTGATGCAAGGTCACGCAATTCATTAAAGGAAGACAGGGGGCTGGGAAGGTGGCTCAGTGGTAGAGCGCTTGCCTTGCATGCCTGAGGCCCTGGGTTTGATTCCTCAGCACCACATAAGCAAAAAGAAAAAAAAAAACCCGGAAGTGGCGCTGTGGCTCAAGTGGTAGAGCACTAGCCTCGAGCTGAAGAGCTGAAGGACAGCACCCAGGCCCAGAGTTCAGGCCCCATGACCGGACCAAAAAAAAAAAAAGGAAGACAGGGATGTAAACTCAGATCCGCCAATTTATAATTGATGCATTACCCTGATCTCTGGGACCAGGGGGACAAAGCTCCTGGGGTAGAGGACAGGGCTGGGTCTCAGAGTATGTGCCTTTAGAGGGTACAGATCGGCCCCTCCACTCACCTTCGAGTCGCAGCAGCTGGGGACAGTAGCAGTGGATGGTGGCGGCCAGCGCCGCTCCGCTAGCCAGGTCCTGGAGGGTCGTCACATGTGGAAAGCAGGGGGCCCGTCGTGCCACAGCCCGGTCCTTGCGGTATCGGATCTGTGGGGAAGAACGGAGTGAAGTCAGTAGTCGAGCCGGCCCCTCCAAAGTCAGCATTCATGCAGGCTGGGCGGGGAAGGCCTGGGGTTTCCGCCATGGGGGAACGGGAAAGCTGGGAGGTCCCAAGGCCAGAATGGGGAGGCGGTGGTCCAGCCCGGAGCAGGGGAAAAGGGTAGCAGCGAGAGGCAAGAGGAAGTTGTCGGGCGAGCAGCCAGGCCAGCAGCAAGGGCTGGGGACGGGGACTCCTGGGACCCCTGGGGTGGGGGATACATTACCATGGGGGGTTTGCTCCCCGACTCCTTCAAACAGAAGGCAATTGCGTGCTGGGGGAGGGGGAGAGGAGCAGCTGTCAGCAGGGTGGGAGGGCCGCTGACCTGCTGGGCCCCCAAGCCCACCTCTGGGGGAGGGAGGAGGACCTCTCTGTGAGCCTTGGCCAGCTCCCTGACTGTGCTCTGGCCAGCTTTGGGGGACCCCAGCTCCTCCCGGCCCTGAGGGACCTCGTAGAGCAGCCTCCCATGCAGGGGTCCATCCTCCCACGAGAGACCCAGGCCCCAGCTTGGGGAAAGGACACGGAGGAAGCAGGTAGGCAGGAACACCCCCCCCCTAACCCAGACCCAGGGTTGGGAGAGGAAGTGAGCAAAGGTGGATGCCTCATCCGGACCACACAGCAAGGAACTCTATGAACCATAAGGACACCGTGACCCTGGTACAGTCACACCGCTAATTAGGGGGAGTAAGGAATCAAATGTCAAGCTCCAAAAAGCTGAATTCTAGCTACTCAGGAGGCTGAGATCTGAGGATGGAAGTCTGAAGCCAGCCCAGGCAGAAAAGTCCCTGTGAGACTCATATCTCCAATTAACCACTCAAAAACCAGAAGTGGTCCTGTGGCCCAAGGGGTAAAGCGCTAGCCTTGACCACAAAGAGGCTCAGGGACAATACCCAGGCCATAAGTTCAAATCCTGCAGCTGATCAAAGAAAGAAAGAGAGAAACCACAGAGTGGTTCATGCCTATAATCCTAGCTACTCAGGAGGCTGAGATCTGAGGACCAAGATTTGAAGCCACCTTGGGGAAGAAAATTCCATGAAACTTTGTCTGCAAGTAGCCACCAAAAAGTTGAAAGTGGAGTTGTAGCTCAAAGTGGTAGAGTAACTAGCCTTGAGCAAAAAAGCTAAAGGACTGTGCCAAGGTCCTGAATTAAGCCCCAGTCCTGGCAATAAAAAGGTTGCAGGGAGAACTTCCCTGTGAGAATCCAAAAGCTAGGAATTTTTTTTTTTAAGTCGGTCGTGGGACTTGAACTCTGAGCCTGGGTGCTGTCCCTGAGCTCTTCAACTCAAGGCAAGCGCTCTACCACTTGAGCCACAGCGCCATTTCTGGTGGTTTATTGGAGATAGTCTCATGACTTTCCTGCTGGGCTGGCTTTGAACCGTGATTCTCAGCTCTCAGCCTCCTGAGTATCTAGAATTACAGGTGTGATCGACCAGCACCCAGCTAAAGCTGGGAATTCCTTAACTTCGGGAAACTGAGGATGTCAGGCAAGTTCTACCTTCTTCTGGATTTGGTTAGGTTGATCCCCAAGATTCTGACCTCCCCCCACCCCAGGGGTGAGAGAGATCTATGTTCTGCCCTCTTAACTAATGGGAGTTTGCCCTCTTGATTATTGAGAAGTTCCTCTGTTTGGTTAATGGCCTAGATTCTCTGGATTCAAGGGTGTGGGGGATCTGTGTCCCCAGAGTTAGGTACTATCCTCCTTTGCTCACAGCTTGGGGGAAGGAAGAGAAGGTGCAGACCCGCAGGCAGAATCAGACACACACAAACAAGACAGCAAGAAGCAGGGCAGGCAGACCGGGGTGGACGGACAGTCCCACTTACAGGAACCAGCTTCCAATACCAGCGTGTAGGGCACTAATGCCAGAGGGTAGAGAGGGGAAGAGCAGAGGCCGGTGCAGGGGAGAAGGCACAGAGAGAGAGGGAGAAAGAGAGTCATCTCCAGCCACGCTTCTTCCTTGGCACGGCCATGAGATGCAGCCCTGACCACCCAAGCCCCTCCCATCACTGACACCAATGTCCATCACCCCAGCCTCACCGAGGGTTGTGCTGGCGCTGCCCCATCTGTGGGGGCTGCGGGGGACGCACGCTGGGCAGCGTCTTGCTCTGTCTTTTCCTGCAGCCGCCGGATGGTCTGAAGACCAGAGAAAAGTCAGTTCTCTGATCTCTGTATCCTCCAGGTCCCCACTCATCCCCACCCAACGTCACCTACCGTGTCCACCCAGAAAAGGAGCTTATGCTCCAAGCTGGTCAGAGCCAAGGGACTGGGAAGCGTCTTTGTCCATTCGAAGGAGAAGGCAACCATGAGGGCATCGATGACAGCTAGGTGGGCTCCCTGGGGAGGAAAGGACTGGAGGGTGAGACTAGAGGGCAGGCTCCCCTCCTTCCAAGAGCCAATGAAGAGGTAGAACTAGGAGGTAGGCAGGACTTGAAGTGGGGCCTCGAGGATGAACAGGCTGGGGTCCTATTAAAAGCCAACCCAGTGGTAGAGCGCTTGCCTTGCATGCCTGAGGCCCTGGGTTCGATTCCTCAGCACCACATAAGCAAAAAGAAAAAAGCCGGAAGTGGCACTGTGCCTCAAGTGGTAGAGTGCTAGCCTTGAGCTGAAGAGCTGAGGGACAGCACCCAGGCCCAGAGTGCAGGCCCCACGACCGGACCCCCCCCCAAAAAAAATAAAAGCCACCCATGAGGGACTGGACTCTGGGATCAGACACTGGGTCTTAGAACAACCTGAGCCCTACAGGAAAACTGGGCTAGAGTCACAGGTAAGCCGGGCTTGTATAGGTAGCACCTTACAGGAGGAACCAACCCTGACAACAGGAGCTTGATGGGAGGAGCCTGTGGGAAAGAGCCACGCCCATGGGGAGAGCTTGAGTTTAGTAGGTGGAGCTTAAGGGAGAGTCAGGAAGAATAAAAGGAGCTAAGGCGGATGGGTGGTGCTAGAGGGGAAGAGCTGGGCATGGTGGGAGGAGCTATGCCTGATGGGTGGCTATTAAGGGGAGGAGCCAAATTGATGGGAGGAGTTGCCTGGTGGGTTGAGCTTGAGGAAGAAGCTGGGAATGGTATGGCTGAGAGTAAGAGCTTGAAGGAGGAATCAGAGGTGGGAGAAGCCGTGTGGCAGGGGGAGCTTCAGGGAGAAGCCAAGTGAGTTGAGAGCAAGGGCTGATGGGAAGAGGGGAGGAGCAAAGCTAGGTCTAATGGGTGGAGATTAAGGGAAAGAGCCGGATGTGGTGGGAGGAGCTATCTAGTGGAGAGATCTTGAGGGAATGAGTCGATGAGGTAAGAGGGGTTATGTTTGGTGGGTGGGGCTTGAGGGGGTGGGCGGGGCTTGAGGGAAGGAGCGGAGTGTAGTGACAGGGCGTGGGCGTGGCTTAAGGGGAGGAGCTACGTGACGTGGATGGCGCTGGAAGGGAGGTCCAGGCCCATGGGCGGAGCCTTGGGAAGGCTGACCTCAGGACCAGGTGGCCGGGCGGACAGACCTACCATGAGGATGGGCTGGTGTCTCAGGTCAGCCTCGCGGACGGGGCGCTCCGGTAGGGCAGGCACCGTGCCCCTGCGGGCCAGCAGGGCAAGCAGCGCCGAGGGGCTGGGGGGCGTCTCCAGCTGCGGCAGCGCCTGGCGCCAGGCCCGGCAGTAGAGCTCGGCCGAGAGCAGCAGCCGTGTCACTGGGGGCTTCACGTGCTCCTGCGCGTACTGATCCGTGTAGAAGGGTTCCCACAGCTCTGGGGGCACGTGCTCTGCGGGGTAAAAGGGAGGTTCAGGGGCAGCCCATCACCATCATCACCACCCCCCCCACACACACACACCCCGCCTGGCCTCCAGGAAAGACACAAGCTTCCCCACCGACCCCTGCAATACAAAGACCAAGAGCAGACAGGACCTCAGGGAGATTGTGAGCACTTGGACCCCGAGAACCCAAGACTCACTGCGCACAACCTCATAGATCCAGGGAAAGACAAGAACACCAAAAGCCAGGAGGTGGTGACTCATGCCTATAATCCCAGCTATTCTGCAGGCTGGGAGTCTGAAGATCACAGTTCAAAACCAGCCCAAACAGAAAAGTCTGTTAAAGACTCATCTCCAGTGAACCACCAAAAAAAAAAAAAAAAAAGAGGCAGAAATTGAGTTGTGGTTCAAGTGGGAAAGCGCTGGCCTTGGACCAAAGAACTCAGGAATAGGGCTCAAAGCACTGAGTTCAAGTCCCACTTGACCTTTCCATTTAGGGCCCCACCCCTGTGCCCCACTTTTCTCAGTCCAGCTCCTTGAAAGATAAGGGCTTTCCAGGCTCACTTCCTCCTGGCTCCCTGGCCTCAGTCCTGGCTTCTGTTGCCATCTTCCTAACCTCCCCAAGGCCAGCAGAGGCTAGCCAAGGCACTTTCGGAGCCCAGAACTTGCCCGGGATCTCTGCCCAGCACCTCCTTCTTCCAGAAACTTCCTTCCACCTGGAGTCTCTTTGTAAAGAAACATGCCCCACCCAACTTCACCTCGTGATGGCTCTGTGGTCATGTGGGCACTACCACCGCTACAGCCCAGGCACTGGGTCAGGCACTGGGTCACCGAACACTTTTGGCTTTTTTTTTTTGGATGGTAGGGATTGAATTTGGTGGGTCTCATGCTTAGCTTGGTAAAAGCATTCTATCACCCTTATTCTTTTGTTTTTCTTTTTCTGCTAGATTATCACATTAACTTTTCCCAGAGGCTAGCCTCTCACCACAATCCCCCAACTTCTGCCTCCCACATCATCCTCCAAGTCACAGGCACGTGCTACCATACCCAGCTTGTTTGCATTGGGCTGGTCTTCAACTGAGATTCTCTTCTGTCTTTACCTCCTGAGTAGCTGGGATTATAGATGTGTGCCCTCACACTTGGCCTACTGTACTCTTTTTCTTTTTTTTTGGTCGGTCGTGGGGCCTCAACTCTGGGCCTGGGCGCTGTCCCTCAGCTCTTCAGCTGTAGATTAGTGCTCTACCACTTGAGCCTCAGCCCCACTTCCAGCTTTTTCTGCTTATGTGGTGCTGAGGAATCGAACCCAGGGCCTCATGCATGCAAGGCAAGCACTCTACCACTGAGCCACCTTCCCAGCCCCTCTTTAAAAAAAAATAATAAGTTTTTTATTGTGAAAATACAGAGGGGTTACAATTACATGAGCAAGGTAATGAGTACATTTCTTATCAAGCATTGTTGCCTCCTCCTTTGTTTTTCCCCTACCATCCCTTCCCTCCCATCTTCACAACTACACCCCCCCTTTTTCTTTTTTTAATAATTTTTGCCCAGCACCTCACATCCCATCAATCTTCTACTTTCAACCCCCTGATATCTCTTTTTTTTTTTTTTTTTGGTCGGCCGTGGGGCTTGAACTCTGGGCCTGGGCGCTGTCCCTCAGCTCTTCAGCTCAAGGCGAGCGCTCTACCACTTGAGCTACAGCGCCACTTCCCCCCCTGATATCTCTTAAATCCAAACCCTCCTCCTTATCTCCCAAGCTCCTATTAGAGACTCAGTCCTGGCACTTACTGCTCCCATCAGCAAATGTAACGAATTTCTTTCCCTGTGAATTCTCAGGGCTTTCAAGATGGGGGAGTGTGGAGGAAGTGATGGTTGGTTATTGACCAAACACTCATTGGTAACTAGTGCCTGCCAGTTCACAAAGGTACAATTAGCACTTGGAGCTGTCTTTGTGTGTGTGTGGTGAGGGGAGAGGTTGGGGGGGGGGTTGTTGCTAGAACTCAGGGCCTGGGCTCTGGTCCTTAGCTTTTTCACTCAAGGCTGGTGCTCTACCACTTGGACCACAGTTCCACTTCTCACCTTTCTTTCTTTCCTTCCTTCCTTCCTTTCTTTCTTCCTTCCTTCCTTTCTCTTTCTTTCTGTCTTTCTTTCTTTCTTTCCTTTTGTGGGTATTAATTGGAGATAAGAGTCTCATGAACTTTTCTGCCCAGTCTAGCTTCAAACCACAATCCTTAAATCTCAGCCTCCTGAGTCACTAAGATTACAGGTATGAGCTACCAGTGCCCAGCTGGAGCCAATTGTCTTTGGGAAGACCCTGTGTGGCCTGGCACTGTGCTTAGAAATCTCTGGTCACAGCTGGACGCCAGTAGCTCATGCCTATAATCTTAGCTACTCGGGAGGCTGAGATTTGAGGATCACGATTTGAAGCCAACCTAGGGAAGGAAAGTCCATAAGACTCTTATCTCCAGTAAACTACACAGAAAAAGCTGGAAGTGGCACTGTGGCTCAAGTGGTATAGCACTAGCCTTGAGCATGAAGAGGGTCAGGGACAGTGCCCAGGTCCTGAATTCAAGCTCCAGGATTGGCAAAAAAAAAAAAAATCCTCTGGTCTCTACCAGAATCAGTATAGGCAACCAAACACATGTACAAGTATTGGTACACATCTCCTAAGAGGTAAGCTGTCTGCTGAACATCTGTTTAATGAGTGACTAGTCACTGCTTCTGTCAACTGCTAGAAATACAATGCAAGCTGCATGCATAGTGATAAGTTAAAAAGAAACAATAAGGCTCCGTAGTACAGTGGATAGCACACGGGACTTCTAAAATGAAACATTAATTTAGTAATATTCTACTCAGCTCAACATGTACCCAAAATATTATCTTTTCAATTTGCAATCAATATAAAAACCTGAATGAGCTAGTCCTTTTTTTTTTTTTTTGGTGTGTGTGTGTGTGCGTGCGTGCGCCAACATTGGGACTTGAACTTGGGGCCTGGATACTATCCTTTAGCTTTTCCTGCTCAGGGCTGGCACCCAATCACCTCAGCTATACCTCTACTTCCAGCTTTTTGATGGCTCATTGGTGATAAGAACTCTTGGACTTGTCTGCCCAGACCAGCTTCAAACTTTGATCCTCAGATCTCAGCCTCCTGAGTAGCTAGGATTATAGGGGTAAGCCACCGGCTCCCAGCCATAGTCTTATTTAATGGTTTTTTTTTTTCTTTGAGAGAGTCTCACTATGTAGCCCAGCCTAGCCTCCAACTTGCAACCCTCCACAGTATCCTCAGTGCTGGGATTACAGGTGTTTCCTGGCTCTGTGTCTAATTTACATTTACTATACACACACATCTGAATTTATCCTCTCCCTTGCCCTTTCTCCTTCCTTCTCTTTTTCGCCTCCCTCCTTCTTTCCTTCCTTCCTTCCTTCCGTCCCCTTCTTTCCTTTTGGTTTGTAGAGACAATGTTTCAATATGTAGCTCAGGATCCTCCTGCCTCCACCTCCCAAGTGCTGGGATTACAGGATTGCACCACTACATCCAGCTTCACACCTTGCTTTTCAAGTGCTCAAAAGCCACACCAGGCTAGTGGCCACCTGTCCATTTCTTTATCCCATGACCTTTCGTGCATTCACTTGTCTAATCCTAAAATATTTATTCTTCCTTCCGCCATTAGACAGATCAGAAAACCAAGGCCCAGAGAGCAGAGTTAACCTGCCATAATCACACAGCCAGTCAACAGCAAAGGCCACATGAACGCAGATTCCCTCACAGAGCTCATTCATGTTCTCTGAAAACATAAAGAATGGTATGCGAAACCAGGCACTGGTGGCTCATGCCTGTAATCCTAGCTGCTCAGGAGACAGATATGAAGACCTTAGTTCAAAGCCAGCCAAGGCAGGAAAGTCTGAGAGACCCTTATCTCCAATTAAGCACCAAAATGCCAAAAGTGGAGCTGTGGCTCAGGTGATAGAGTGCTAGCCTTGAGCAAAACAGCTCAGTGACAGCAGCCAGGCCCTGAGCTTAAACCCCAAGTCCCCCATAAGCCCCTTCCACACACAAAAGAATGGCACGTGAGCCAGGCAGCTTAAGCCTGTAATCTTTGCTACCCAGGGGGCTGAGATCTGAGGATCTCAGTTTGAAGCTAGTCTAGGCAGAAAAATCTGAGAGACGCTTATCTCCAACTAACCAGCAAGAATGCTGGTCTGGGGGAGAAGGAGAGGGAGAAAAGAAAGAAGGAAAAAAGAACAGCATCTTAGGTGTTTCCCAAACTTACATAAAATCCTTTCTTATCTCATTCTCTTTGAGTCTGTGCCCTCTAGAGCCCACCAGCCTGCATTCCACACCCTTGTGCCTTGGGCCTCTACCTTCACCCAGACTAGGATCTCACAGGGCCACTCTGTGTAGATCTGGTCAGCCCTCAAGCACCTTCTATAGCTCCCTAGGGTTCTCAGATCCCGAATTCCAGAGTAGAACAGCCTTCTTTATCTCCAGCCTCCCCCCCCCATACACACACACACACACACACACACACACACACACACACACACACACACACACACGAGAGAGAGCTGTAAAATTGTTATCTGAGAACTCCTTGTTAGGCCACACTGAGCTTTAGGACACACAGACTCCTTCCCCTGGTAAACTCCTACACACCCATCAACACCAAGTCCTTCCTCATTGAGGGAGCCTTCCCTTCTCCCTCTCCTGAAGATTTCAGGGATTCCCTCCTCCCAGATCCTGTTATCTCTTCCAAACCACAGATCTAGTCACTCTTAAGCTGAGAGAACTAGTAGAGAGAATCTAGTATTGACAGAATCTAGTTTTATACTAGGTTCTCCCCTTCTCCCCGCCCCCTACATCCTGAACAATTGATAAAGAGTCCCAGTGGTCATGAACAGGTCTACTCCATTTAGACTTGCTCTGTGTAGGAGAGGCAAGTGGGAGATAGATTGAACTTGATTGTTACAGTAATGGCAGGCAGGTTTCAAAGCACAGCAAGCTGACTCAAGAATGGAACTGGGGAGGGAAGGGATGGAGGCATGGCTCAAGTGGTAGAGCACCTGCCTAGCAAGCACAAGGCCCTGAGTTCAATCTCCTGGCACCATTTTCTTTCTTTCTTTCTTTCTTTTAAAGAGCTATAGGTGGCTTACACCTGCAATCTCAGCTACTTAGGTGGCTAAGATCTGAGAATGATGGTTCAAAGCCAGGTCAGGAAGAAAAAAAAAAATCTGTGAGACTCTTATCTCCAAATAACCACCAAAAAAATCAGAAATGGAGCTGTGGCTCAAGTGGTAGGGCATGAGCTTTGAGTAAAAACAGCTAAAGGTGAATGTCCAGGCCCTGAGTTCATGCCCCAGGACTGGCACCAAAAAACAAAAAACAACACCTGGCACTAGATGAGTTAAATATCTACATTTGATCAGCCCCTCTCAGGGGCTTGCTTTCTTTTCTATGAAATGAGACAGCAATTTCTGCTCTGTTCCCCCATGCAGGGACAGTGACATTACTGGTATTAATTTTTTTTTAAGCCCAACTCCCATACCCACAAGCAATAGTGATTATCCATATGGCCAACAAGGTGGAACATATTCCACAGTAAGGGCCTCCAACCACCCTCCTCCAGCAACCTCATCCAAAAGATCCTGGGGTCTCAAGTTCCTACCTGATGCCCCCCCTGCCCCCGCAGCCACACACGAGCACCCCACATAGTCTCAGATATGAATAAATAAGCAAACGAACACCTTTTATTATGGCAGTGAAAAACAGAAGCTGGGGGGGGGGGAACAGGAGATCATTCCTCCAACCTTTCATAAAAAGGAATTGCAACTCAAACTCCATTCCGAGTTTCAAACTTGGGCTCTATCACCCCCATAAACTTGGGCTCTCCCCTCCCCCCCTGCTGGGGGGGCAATCCCAATCTCAACGCCCCCCTCATCCTTTTCTTAAATCCCCTGGTTTCAAAGGAGGTGGTGAGGGAACAGTTCAGAGAACGTGGAGAAAGTGGGAGCCGAGCCTGGGTGGATGCAGCTGACGGCCAGCTGTGACGGAGACCCACACCCAGAACAGGTTGGTCTAGGAAGGCCACTAAAAGGTAAATGGGGGGGATGGGCTGTGCCTAGGTGGTGCCAAGACCTGTATGTAGGCAGGTCCACCGGGAGAGCAGAGCACCCCGGAAGGACCAGACCTTAATTAACCCCTATGTTCCCCCAAGGCCTCTCAGCTCTGCCCTGAGGGGAGGTGGCAGCTGCCCAGAGCCCCTCATCGTGGGGACACCCCCCCACACACACACCCATCTTGCAGCAGTGCTCAGGGCTAGAGTTATTTAGACAGATATGGGGGGCGGGAGCTGGCGAAAGGAGTAGGGGACCCGCCCTACGGAGACAAGGCCCTGCAGCCGGGCTCCCGGAGCTTGATCCTGGACTAGCCATTTCTTCCTTTTTCCGCAGAGCTCGCCTGCCTTCCCCAGGAAAGGGGGGGGCGGGATAATAAGTCACAGCTGCCAACCGGGACCATGGTGGCTTTAGAGGGGCGCGGGGATGTGGGGGGGTGTCCCCGGGGCTCCCCGGCCACCGCCCGCAGCGCAGGCAAGGCGGACGCGAGCTGGGTGTCCCAGCCTGGGGGGGGGGGGTGAGTGATATTGGGGGAAGGTGGACACGGCGGTGCTGAGCGCTTAGGGTCCCCTCGCATGGAGGCTGCTGTCGGTGGTGTAAAGAGAGGGGGGGATCCCCAAAGACGCATGATGTGGGTGTGGAAATGGGGCGTGCAAAGGACGCCCACCCGGGAAAGAGGGTTTGTGGGGGGCGGGAAGCAGCCCCCGGCCCGCATCGGGAGACCCCCCCCCACCCGGCCCGCAGACCCCGCCCCGCTCACCTAGGGGCCCCCGGTGCACGGCTGGGCCCCACCCCCACTGCGCTCAGGCGCCCGGCGGGCAAAGTCCACGGCCTGGGCCCGGCAGGAAACGCGGAGGCCCCGCACGGCAGATCCCGGGGCCCGGAGGACCCCCCCACCCCCGCCCCGCAACCCCGGCGGTCCGCGCCATTGTTCCCACGGCCCCAGCTTGCCAGCCCGGCGCCCCGCCCCCCGCACCTGCCGCCAAGCGTCCCCCAGTACCTGCACCCCCAAACGCCGCCCGCAGCACCCATGCCAGGCTCGCCGCCGCCTTGGCCCGCGAGAAATCGTACTGGTCCAGCGATTTGATCTCGGGCACCAAGAAGGTCCTCCGCAGCGGCCCGGGCCCCGCGGGCGCCGCCTCCACCATGGCGGCACCGGGGCTGCGAGCCGACAGACACCGGCTCCACGCTCGGGGCTGGGCTACGCTGCGCTGCACCGCGTTCCGGCCCCCGCCAAGGCCGCCGCCGCCGCCCGCTGTTACTGCTGCTGCTGCTGCCGCCGCTGCTCCCGCTGCTGCTGCTGCTGCTGAGCCAGGTGCGGCTGCTTGCGCCGGCGACGCAGCGTCGGCCCCGCCCCCGGGGCGGAGCCCAGGTGAGCCCCGCCCACTCGAGTCAGGCCCCGCCTATCTCGTCCAGGTCCCCGCCCAACGGGTCTGTAAGCCTCAATGGGTTTCCTTAAGGCCCTGTACGGCAGAGCCATAGGGGCTGGACTGCGCTGATGAGGAGAGGGGGTGAGGGGTGGAGGAGAGACCTGAGACAGGCAGACAGACAGACAGGCAGACAGGCAGGCTGACTCGCTGGAAAGGATCAGGGACCCTTCTCTGCTAGCTGTCTCTGAGCAGGTCTCTAAGCACCAGTGCAGACTTTGAAAGCTCCAGCCCCTGGGGCCAGGGGCATGCACCTGCTTCTAACCGAAAAGAGAACTTCTGTAAATGTGTTGAGGTGCTTGCGACTGTGTGTGTTTTTACCACGTGTTAGGTGTGTAAAAATCTGTGTCGTGTAGCTGACTGCATTCTGAATATGAAAGGTGGTGGTTAAGGCCAGGCCCTGATAGCTCACACCTGTGATCCTAGCTACTCAGGAGGCAGAGATCTGAGGATCAAAGTTCAAAGCCAGCCCGGGCAGGTAAATTCATGAGACTCTTAACTCCAATGAACCATGAAAAAACTGTAAGTGGAGCTGTGACTCAAGTGGAAGAACACCAGCCTGGAGCATAAAAGCTCAGAGACAGCACCCAGGCCCTGAGTTCAAGCCCCACGACTGACCAAAGAAAAATTAATGATCTGGCCTGAGAATGTGGCTTAGTGGTAGAGTGCTTACCTAGCATGCATGAGCCCCTGGGTTCGAGTCCTTGGTACCATATAAATAAAATACAAGTTTAAAAAAATAGTTAAACATTGCCAGGCACCGGTGGCTCACACCTGTAATCCTAGCTACTCAGGAGGCTGAGATCTCAGGATCTCGGTTCAAAGCCAGCCCAGCAGGAAAGTCCGTGAGACTCTTATCTCCAATAAACCACTCACAAAACCTGAAGTGGCATTGTGGCTCAAGTGGTAGAAGACTAGCCTTGAGCTGAAGAGCTGAGGGACAGCTCCCAGGCCCAGAGTTCAAGCCCCACAACCGACCAAAAAAAAAGTTAAACTTCAAAAAAAATAAAGAGTAAAACTTTAAAAAATGACAAATGTATGTATGTATCTCTGTGTTGTGGGTATAAGAGTAACTAAATGTGTTTGGGTGTTGTGCAAGGGTATGATGGATTTTCTTATCAATTTGGGAATATGAGAGACCTCGAGTGGATATATTTGTGCAGCATTTTGTGTGTGTGGTCAATATGGAGGTTACTGGGGGGCCTTTGCCTATTTGTGATATGTGCAGTATTTGTTGGGGAAGGGCTTAGGTTGTCTGTGGGTGAGGATGTGTTTGTGTGTTGTTGTGTGCAGGTGTGGATACACTTTCTGAATGTATTCCTGTACATATATAGATCTCATTTTGTTTCCCACAGATTCAATCAAACATGGATTGAAAATGATTGGAAACAAAGTGCATTTGGACAGAAGAAGAAAGGACTATTTTTTCCCTACATGACATAGTGCAACAACCTTGCCCACAACATTTACTTTGTATACCTTTTTTTTTTGGGGGGGGGTCTGGTCGTGGGGCCTGAACTCTGGGCCTGGGTGCTGTCCCTCAGCTCTTCAGCTAAAGGCTAGTGCTCTACCACTTGAGCCACAGCACCACTTCGGCTTTTTTCTTTTTGCTTATGTAGTGCTGAGGAATTGAACCCAGGGCTTCATGCATGCAAGGCAAGCACTCTACCACTGAGCCACCTTCCCAGCCCTACTTTGTATACCTTATTAGAAGTTATCTAAGAGTTGCCAGGCGCTCATGGCTCACACCTGTAATCTTAGCTACTCAGGAGGCTGAGATCTGAGGATCACCATTCAAAGCCAACCCGGGCCAGAAAGTCCGTGAAACTCTTATCTCCAATAAACCACCAGAAAACCAGAAGTGGCACTGTAGCTCAAGTGGTAGAGCACTAGCCTTGAGCTGAAGAGCTGAGGGACAGTGCTCAGGTCCAGAGTTCAAGCCCCACAACTGACAAAAAAAGAAGTTATCTAAGAGGATTTTTTGGTCGTGGGGCCTGAACTCTGGGCCTGGGCGCTGTCCCTCAGCTCTTCAGCTCAAGGCTGGTCGTGGGGCCTAAACTCTGGGCCTGGGCACTGTCCCTCAGCTCTTCAGCTCAAGGCTAGTGCTCTACCACTTGAGCCACAGCGCCACCTCCAGCTTTTTTCTTTTTTGCTTATGTGGTGCTAAGGAATCGAACCCAGGGCCTCAGGCATGCAAGGCAAGCACTCTACCACTGAGCCATCTTCCCAGCCCCATAAGACTCTTATCTCCAATAAACCATCAGAAAACTGGAAGTGGCGCTGTGGCTCTAGTGGTAGAGCACTCGCCTTGAGTAAATTGCTAAAGGACAGTGCCCAGGCCCAGAGTTCAAGCCCACAACAGACAAAAAGAAAAAAGTCCTTGAAACTCTATTTTCAAAATAACCAGCTAATAACCAGCTAAAAACCAGACTGGAGGTGTGGCTCCAGTGGTAGAATGCTTGCCTAGCAAGTGTGAGGGCCTGAGGCTTAATCCTTTGTACTGAAAAAAAAAAAGTTAAGACTATAAAGTTTGCTGAGCACTGGTGGCTCACAGCTGCAAAGGTACGAAGTGTCAAATGTGCAGTTGTTTGTGGATGTGAGTATAATTCATCATGGGATGTTACTAAGTGTGTACGTGCATAAACCTCTATTTGTGTGTACTTGTTTAGTATTTGCTTGTGTGTAATCTGTACTTTTGTGTCAAGACATCTCCTATATGGTTCTTAGCTATATGTACTAGTGAAAGCACAAATATTTGTGCCTAGGCCAGGTGTCAGTGGCTTACACCTGTAATCCTGGCAACTCCAGTGGCTGAGATCTGAAGGTTTGCAGTTCAAAGCCAGCCTTGGGAAGAAAAGTTCCCCAAGATTCCATCTTCAATTAACCAGCAAAAACAAACCAGACTAGATAGGCATGACTTAAGTGGTTAGAGCACCAGTCATGAGCAAAAAGTAAAAAACAAAAACAAAAATAAAAAACTGAGCAAGACCTCAAAGCTCTGAGTTCAAGTTCTGATGTCCACACACACACACACACACACACAACCTACACAAGAGGTTCAAATCTGTGTCGCCCCCCCATGGCTTTATAAAGTGCTTTATGCAATGTGGAAAAACTATATATGTCCCCCGCAGGGTGGCCCGAGGCAAGCCCTTGTTCACATTCCAGGGCCATGCTGACACGTGTGTTTTGGCGTGGGTCTCACGGTCCAGAGCGTGTGATCGGCAGGTGAGTGGGTGTGCCCAAGGGAGGGGAGCTGGGGCGTGTGCCCTCCTGTCTGGATGTGCCTGTCCAGGCACCGCTGGGTGTGGGAGCACACAAAAGGGCCAGTGTGTGTGTGTGTGTGTTTGTGGCAGCACACAGGTAGGTTTCACACGATGGGCGTAGCTTCTCCTGGGGTTTTGGAGCCAGCCTCCCCAAAACACCTCAACAAGGGCCTTACTGTCCTGGTCCTCAGTTTCCCCAGCTGGGTCACTTAAAGGTGGGGGAGAGGAGGCCTGGGGTCCTATGGAAGATGTTCCTTCCACACTCTGTTCCTTCTGTGAGTTTGGGGTGCCCTGGGAAAGTTTCCCTGACTTCTGCCGGACCCCCAAGGGCAAACCTCAGATGGAGCCACGCCTGCAGCTCCATTCCCCATGGAGGACGCCAGGTGACCCGGTGAACACACACGCACGCACGTGCTTTCCATCCTAGGAGGGGGCCACAGGCCCTCACCTGCAGAGGGAACAAAGTGGGGGCGTCTGGAGGTATCTGGGGCCCCTGCCGAGGCTCCTAAAGGCCTCTTCAGAGCCCAGCCCCCACACCGGGCCAACCGGAAAGCCAGGCTGGGCTAGATCGCCCCACCCACACACAAGGCCAGGCTGGCTGGAATTGAGGTCCCACCTGGCCCCCGGGGCCTGTTCCTGTGGCCCAAGGCGGCCTCAGACACATACAGGGGTCCCCTGTCTACCTGGGCAACACTCTCCCCACAGCCTCTCTTCAATCCCCCCCCTGTAAATTCCTGCCTCCCTCCTCCTCCCTCACCTGCAGCTCATTAGACGGCTGGGGGTGGGGATGACAGAGAGCATTTGTAGGTCAAGGGTTCAGGACTGGATTTTGGGGAGCACAGGCATCTCCATAAAATCATCTGGGAGGCCAGACACTGGTGGCTCACACCTGTAATCCTAGCTACCCAGGGGGTGGAGATCTGAGGATCACAGTTCGAAGCCAGCCCAGACAAGAAGTGTTCTTGAGACTCAGCTCCAAATAAACGGAGTTGTGGCTCAAGTGGTAGAGCAGCAGCCTTGCATTTGGCCCAGTACTCAAGAACAGTATCCAGGCCCTGAGTTCAAGTCCTAGGACCAGAAAAAAAAAAAGTAAAAGGCCAGGCTTTATGGACCACAATCCTTCATATTTCAGCCTCCTGAGCAGCTTGGATATCAGGCACAAGCCTATAATCCAGTGATAGAAGGGTGTGTGTGTGTGTGTGTGTGTGTGTGTGTGTGTGTGTGTGTGTGTGTGTGTGTGTGTGTG